GAATCTGATGAAGTCGTCATCTCTGTATCAATCGCCGTGCTTCCGAGCAAATAATACAAATTGCTCCTTCTGACGCCCTTCATCACAATCATGGACCCCAATGTGACCTTCAAACGTGCATCTACCAAGGTCACTTTATAGACAGATGCCACCAAAGTTCCTAGTGAAATGATGTTCATCTTCAATTGTGGAACGAACCTTACATCATTCAACTCTCGCACCATCTCGTCACTCATCTTAATCTGAACGGTAGCAATACCACCAATAGAGCATGCATGTCCATTACCCATGAGCACAACATCCTCTCTTTCCAACTTCTGAAAGCTGGAGAACCAATCTCTCCTAGGGCAAACGTGGTATGAAGCACCCGAATCCAACATCCACTCTGTAGAGTTGGCAACACAAACTAACGATAGTACAGACAACGAATAGCCCAAAGAATCCGAATCTGAATTGTTGCCACTAGTCTTGACAACATTCACCTCTTAAGCTTGTACATCTTTCCCCTTATTCTTCTCGGCTCGATCTAACTTTGGGCATTCGACTTTCCAATGTCCATCCTCTTTACAAAGGGCACACTGATTTTTATGAATCCTACGATGTGCACCTCTAGACCGCGATCTTCTGCTTCGGTTTGAACCACGACCTTGAACTACTAATGTATCTCCCGATGCCTTCTCGGAGGACTAATCAACACTCTTCCTCAACTCATAATTCATCAACGCTGAGGTCACCTCCTTGTAACTAACAGTAGTTCTTTCATTAATCATAGTTAGGACAAAAGTACCATAATCATCATCGGGCAACAACACAAAAGTAGTATCGCCTTATCTTCATCCTCAACCATGATATCCACATTAGTCATGTCTGAAAGCAGCTTTGTGAAGTTGTTAACATGCTCCCTAATGGAAACTCTCCTCTTTATCTTGAACTGGTAAAACATCTTCTTCAAGTGAAGCCGATTCTCAATGCTCTTAGTAAGATATTTTTCATTGAGTGTTTCCCACATCTTCTTCGCCGACGTCTCGTTCATCACATCATAAATAAGATCAGGCGTCAAGCATGACCGAATAACTCCACACGTCCTACTATTCATCTTCTTCCAAACCTTAGCTTCCATCTCGGCAGGTTTCTCTTGTAACTCAAGAGTCTCCTCCAAATTCTGAGCGTCCAAGGCGTCCATCACCTGACACATCCACAATCCGAAGTTAATCTTATCGTCAAACTTTAGAACATCAATTTTCATGTTATTGATGCTCAAACTATGTATCGTTTTCGTAAGGGACGATCCCGATGTGCTTGTTTCACCCATATTGTCGATCTAATCTTCAAATAGGAATTCTTCAGCGAATCCTTCAAACAAGCTCCCAAGTCCAACCCGGAGCTCTGATACCACTTGTTGTGCGCAGCGAAAATTTCGGCAGCACCTCCGGTGCGCAAGGTGCACAACAAGAGATTAGATCACAATGAAATTCTCATTTCTCAAAGAAAACAAGAACCAAAAGCCAGATATCTCATCAAAGTGAGATATCAGCTCTTCCTCTCGTCAGTTCTAGGACTGCGCGTCGAGGGAACCTACAAGCTATTACAAATCTTGGCAAAAACACAACTTTTACGTGGTTCGGCAAATAGACTACGTCCACGGGGCAAGGAGGGGGGAGATCTACTATTTAGAGGGAGAGAATACAACTAGGGTTTACAATCTCACAATCTAAACCCTCTCACAAACTCTCAAATCCCTCACACAAATACTCTCTCAAATCGGCTCTTGCACGCCGCCCAAAAGAGAGAACAAAACTGCTGATTTTTCCCTCTGTACGTGCTTGCACGCTACCAAAGAAAGGAACAAAAGCCGACTGCAGCCCTCTTGGCACGCAACCCAAGGATAGCCTCGAGTTTGCACAGCCACCAATGTTTTTCCCCTCAATTCCTGCACACCAAAACCCTAGGAACACTAGGGTATTTATATTGTACAATGGTCTTCAGGTGGGCCTGCGATTTATCTGTTGGACTAAAGAAACCTCATGCGCCTGGGAAAACACGTCATGCATCAATTCATGTGGTCCTGCTTCAACTCACGTGGTGGTGGGCCCCAATGACGACATTCAGATATACGTTTTCTTTATATGATCTACATGAGGAATCAATGTACTATATATAAATCTCAGGTACCGGATTCAGACAACAAGGTCAATTCTGTTGGGATTTTGTCTTTGATTCTTTGTGTAACTTTATGAGAATTAGATAGGGTTAGAGTTCTATCATGATTAGAAGTTTGGGTTTTATCATGATTAGGAGTTTGAGTTCTATCATGATTAGGAGTTTGGATTTTATCATGATTAGGAGTTTGAATCCTATTCTAATTAGGGAGTTAGACTAGAGATAGGGTTTTGGTTTCCCTATATATATTCTTCTATTGGTGGAGGAAAAACCATGAAGAAAAAGTAGAGATGTAGTAGATGAGAGAGAGGGGGGGTTTCGTAGTCTTTATCCATGCAAAAGATTACAAGGAGTGTGCTTTGTGGAGAATATGAGAGTTGATTATGTATGTGGGGTTGAGAGATTGAGAGACGAGAGTTGAGTGGTTCCTCTTGTAGTTCTCCCTGATACATAGTGAATTTCTCGTATTGTTGCCCCGTGGACGTAGGTTGAAGTTGGTCGATCGAACCACGTAAATCTCGGTGTTTTTTTTTCTTGATTGTGATTGTTCTATCTTATTGATTGGGGTTGGCTTCCGAGTTGCGCATATCGTGGTAGGCGGGGAGACTGAAATTCCCCAACAAATTCTAGGGACATGGTCAATCTTGACAACAGAAGGTTTTAATTACACAGGCCTGGAGATTTCTCCTCTGGTTATAACAACATCCAATTGGAAGATCATCAGTTCACCTTTTTTTTTATTCTTATTATAGAAAATCATTAGTTCAACTTTAAACATGAGACCTACCGTGATAATGCTATTTACCTATCATTGGGTCATGATACAAAACAAGTGGCAGCTGCCTTCACAGATTTTGTGTTATTTTTTGGGGAGGCAGTAAGTTTTTGGGGGCGTAACCCTTATGAGCGAGGCGGCTAGTATCCGTGTGACATGCACGTGTTTGGGACGAGATTCGCATGAGGAGGTTGGGTTGGTACTTTTTTGCAGAGGAAAAACACATGGGCATGTCTATAGAAGAATTGGAATCAATCATGTAATGAAATTTTTTTTCTCTTTTCTTTTTCTCTCTCTGTCTCGTGATCTGAGAGAGAGAGAGAGGGGCCTCCATGTGCTCAAACATCTAATCAGAGAGGCCACCTCATTGAACTGCCCTTTTCTTCGAGCCTCTGCACGAAAACCGACAGCAAGTCTGAACCTCATATTAACAAAAATGGTTTTTTTTAGATATCAGCCCCTTGCATCACAAGTAATTTGGTATACTTCATGTTTTGATATTGGCCCCTCAAATAGCTATAAGATGTTGATATGAGCCCCTATATATATTTAGTTTCATATTTTGATGTTAACCCCTCAAATAGCCATGTTGTGTTTATATGACCCCCTCATGCATATTAACACATCATAGTAAGTTGAGGGCCTAACATCAAAATATGGAGATTCAAAGGGCTAACATCAAAAAATTATGTTCAAGATAAGGGGCTAATGTCTAAAAAAATCCCCTTAATAAAAAGGGGTTGTTTATTAGAAAGATGCCACGTTAAGAATTGGAGTAATTATATGAAAATCATATTTTATTTTTAATTTATATATAAATTATTTTTTAAAGTAGGCTTTCATTGCAATTAATCACCAATCAATCAAAATTTTACAAAAAACCCAAAAATAAGTTTAAAAGAAATTTTAAGTTCGAGGTGCGTGAGTTGTATATCCCAATAACACCTAAAAATTAAAAGAACGAGACAAGTACCTTGAATATGAGTTTCTTAAGGATTATTTTAGATTTTTAGTGAAATAACTTTATCAGATTTGAGGGGGCCTAAAAGCACTTTCATGATTTGGCTCTGACTCTTCTGTGTTGTTCACAAACACCCACAACACCAAAAGGCATCTTTGCTTTGCCGCACGACTTTTGAGCTCCTAGAATTTTTACTGAAGCCGAGGTAAGCGAAGATGCCTCAACAGTACCCATCGCCTCGCTCTCAATGCGTCTAGTCACCAGTTTTTAGAAAGTGCCAGCATCACTCTCTTATATATAAACAATAATAATCCTGAAAATTTAGTCTACCCATCTAATTAGGAAAACAATTACAAACGCTCAACCAACACGACCGCCGTCACCAGTTTTTAATATTTGTAATTGAACAAGTGCAAGTTTCCAGCTTCCTCCAAAAGTTTGGTTTTCTGTAGGCCTCGCTACTTCCTCTGTTGTGCCATTCGTTTCACTGCACACCAAGCTAATTAAAAGCCTATTACGTGACCAGGATCTGACATAATTTTTTTTTTCCCACTTACCATTCTCTTTCTCAAGTTAACTGGCCTTTTCTCTAAATTATTAATGAACTAACGCTCAAGCCATTTCGCAATAGAAATGTTAGGGGCACACCCCCAACCACAATCTCAACCACATCTCCTCTCCCTCTATAGTGCATTGGGCCCCACATCAATTTTTTTTTAAAATTTGATGTGGGGTCCAATGCACTATAGAGGGAGAGGAGGTGTGGTGGAGGGTGTGGTTGGAGGTGTGCCCCTAACACCACTCATTTCGCAAAGAGAATGTTGGAGGAATTGCAATAGCTTGAAGAAACTATGAAAAATTTGTCGCCTTTGTTCCAATTTTGCGAGGAGTTACAACGTCACAGAGGAATCGCAATAGCTTGAAGAAGCTATGAAAATCTCTCACTTTCTCTCCAATTTCGCGACAAGTTGCAACATCTACAGCCAACTTGCTGCTCTTATGTATACAACTAGGTCTAGAAACATAGGGGTATTAATATAAGAGAGAATACAATGAAGAAGGATCCCGCAACAGGGGAGTGTTCATAACAAACCGTACCCATGCTTCTCGAATCCATATTTACTATAATAAAATTCATGAACTTCGCTGAAGAATTCCTTTTACCATATTTTGGCAACAGTCGTCGAAAACAAAACCAACCCCTGCGTCGAAACCATCATTTTTCTCTATACAATGGTAAAAATACCAAAAAGAGTGGAAACTATCACCCAGCCCTGCTTACATACTTAACTTCATTTTTGCACGCTTAGAATCATTTACACATTGCACGAAATATCAACAAAAGAAAAGGCTTTGATGTCAGAATCACCTTGTTTCTGCAAAATTGTGACAAGCTAATCAAAGTTTTGAACAAGGTCGTTTGCAAGAAATTGTGACACGCAGTGTCCAAATATAGAAGCATGCAGAATAGTGCACTCCACAAAAATTTGTGATGCTTTATTAAACTAACTGATACGGTCCCCCTTTATCTTCAGAACTCATTTTTCGACCTGCAGAAGAAAAGAGGATTATGATGCTTCAACATGTTGAGCAACATACCAGAATATAATCGAATCAGATTGGCATGAAAGAAACAAGGCATGGACTCTTCTATGCATACACATACACACCAAAGCATAAAGTAAAATTACGACTAAACTGGAACTGGTAATTAAAACAAGACCCAGCACTTTTAAAACGAACAACCAAACCCAAGATACACCAAGGGTGTTATAAGGAAACCACAAAGTGACTCCTATTTTGATGCAGCTAAAGTTCAGCTAATTTAGATTCTCATTAGAGGGACAGTCAAAGCCAAGTGTCAACTGTCAGAAGCATTTGATTTGATCTCCATCAAGATATCTCAATTCATAAAAGCTTCATAAAAGAAAGAAGAATCCATTTTCATCAGTAGGAACTGCGCAGGATTTGTTCAAACGGGACACGTCTTCATTAAAGATTTCATCATCCGTACCTTTCGGTCCCAGTTACAATACCCTGTGAACTGGTTCTAGATTGCTATCTGGATACAGAAGTTCTTAAGCAGAACTCTCACCTTGTCTTGATTTCCTCCTTAGGAAGTAAATGAAATATAACTAATTCATTCTTATCTTCGAGCCTGTTTTAATCATACCAAATTTATCAGGGTTTTATCAGATGAGGGATATTATGATTAAATAATTATTAATTATACATTAAAACCCCAGCTACAATTACTTTGTATATTGGTTCTAATTTGATATGCAGATATATAAGGCTGTTAAACAAAACTCTCTCACCTCCTTCTGATTTATGCATAGGAAGTAAATAAAGTATAATTAGTTCATTATTAACTCAGAGCCTCTTCAAGAACACTGTAAAATATCAGTACTAGGCTACCCATATTTGCTTTTACAGTTCCCTATCTGAATACCGGAAGTAGACAAATTTTGAAAAGGAAAATTCTAGGTAACTTGTTGCTATCTCTTCTATCTGCATGCATATTTCCCGAGTTCAGAGACTGGTGCACAAGGGCTACCCTCCTGTGGATTATTAATTCATTGCATATTCCAGTGCTTCTAATGTCAACAGAATGTTTTGCTCTTGTTAGCGTGCAATTTGTTTGACCGAAGACGACGACGTTGATTCCAGATGAGACCTCCTAAGTTACCGAACTTATATCTACCCATAACACCAATTAGCGCCAAAAACATTTTTGCTGCGGTAATGATAGTATATGGTATACACAGCTGGTATTAGACCGGTGTAACATCAGTTTAAAACTCAGAAGACCCAGCCTACTAAACGTCTAGAGAGAATGTTAATAATAAAAGATGAGAATCATGCCACTGCAAATTAAGCTTGCTTAGAGTGTGAAAGGGGCTAGCTGAAGCATATACTGTAAGCTGGCCAGAAAGAAGCGGCCGATATATCCTTTTACCAGTTTTCAAGCTGTCATGGACATCTTCTCAAATCAAAGAGCAGTTAAAATGAAGGTCCATCAGGGATGATCTGACCTTATACCAGTGTCATGCATTGTTTTACATATCCCCGATGTGGCCGATAATATCGGCCAATATATCCTTTTATAAGGCTTGCACAACAGAATATGCTCCCAATATGCTTTACCACGTTTGGCTAATTTTGGGGGCGATATATCATGATTTTCCCCATATATCATGGATTGAAGTGTTACAATGTTGATTTGGACCTTTATCTATTTTAAGTGACTGGTTTAGATTTACAGTTTAACTGAGTTCTAAACCTAAAAAATATATACTTATGTCAATAACCAGAAAGAAGAATTAGGGCTCAATTGAGACCAAATTGTTTGCAAAAGATATCACCTTTTCTCCATAGCTCCATCCTATAGTGCATCAAGCATGAACATCTACGATATACATCCACATGTTATCCAATATGACACCCCGATATTTATTAAGTATCTCCAATATATCCCAAATATCCACGTTTCAATATGGAATTTTTCCATCCGACATGTCCCTGACATCTGAAATTTAAAACATTGGTCTCATGAATGGAGAACATGGGTGCAAAGCAGTGTGAATCAGGGCCTACTAGAGCTGTACCTGCCAAAAGCGGCACAATTTTATTGACAATAAATAGGAACAAATCAGAAGGATGAGGTGGAATCTAATCATTTTTGTTCGTGTGATGAATATACTCCGACTCTGCTATATAACCTCACAAGAATTTAAAGAAACTGCGTAACTGATAAAAGGATTAAAAAGACTAACACTTGAATTTGATTAAAAATGCATATCAAGAGAACAGTACATTAATTTAATGTCCAAAAGTGACGGCTATATGTCCGTGGCCGAGTGACGACTGCTAAAGCATGATACAGAATAGGAGATGAGAGATAACCGGGACTCTTTTGTCTAATTTTTCTAGTGATATTAACTTTGATCACACAATTCATATTTGTTTCACTTCTTATAGAGAAATCACTTACGATAGCAGCATACAGAAACATAGTTGTAACAACTTATCAACAACTATGTACTTTTCTATCTGGTTTCTGTTGGAGAATGAGTTTCATGAAGTCCACCATATGATTGAACTCACATAGAGACTAGCAACATAACTAAGGGGAACAAGTTACTCAACTTACCAAATTCCCATATTAGATAGTGCAGTAGATGAATCCACATTCAAATTCAGTTAATAAACAGATTAATAATTGTTTGAGCATCAGAGTAAAACAGACACGTCCATTCTGCAACGAAAGCAATAGCTAGAAGCAACTACACAAGGATATTTCCTATCTATGAAGGGTGAAAAATGTGGCAAGAACATCAATCTCCAACTAAAATATTGGGAAACCAGCAGTTAGAACTTGATGAAGTCAACCCAAGATGAGGAATCTTTAGCCTGGGAGAGGAGGAAAGGATAAACAAAGAAAAGAAACAAGAAAAGAAAAAGAAAAAGACACTGTCTCATGGTTTGATAGTTATTTTATAGGGGCAAATCATATACAGGCAAATCATATAAAGCTTACAAGCAGCATCCAGGTTACTACATGGCTACACCTAATAAATCAAAGGAGGATAATTTGATGGAAAATATATATTAAATTTTATGATCATATAGATGTACTTCAAACCTAATACAGCCCTGAATGTTTAATTGGCAATAAATTGGTAACCTTTAGTGGGTTGTACATCACACTAAATTATCCATGCTTAACATGTATTTCTTCTTAGGGGATTATCATTTCTAACCCTTTGTATAGTTAAGCCTATCAATGTTGTCCAACACTACAAAGCATGTTTGAAACATCTGTATAGTCAAGCCCACTATGTCCATACAGAACATGCTTTCCAATATTATTCAACACTAACTGAAATTGGATATTAAGGCAATTCAATACTTACATGCAATGGGATAATTTGCTTCCAAATGCTATACATTATTGGCAATATCATCAACACAGCCACTGTCAGCATTCTGTCTGTTAGGAGAACCTGTTCGCTGCACAAAGAGAATTGTTCACAAAATATTAGAGTGCAAACCAATGACAGCAATGAAGATGATACGGACGCTAAAAGACCTTCTGCAGTGCAAGCTTGAAGAACTAACGATAAAATAGTGAAGTTAAGAAGTTGAATTCAAGACGGAAAACAAGTTTCTACAAAAGAAGCCCTCAAAGTTATCTAATACTAAAATAAGCCTGCACGGCATTGACTTCTCTTGAATTGTGTATCTGGTATTTCCATTGTTTTATAAAGCAGTCTGGGTGCTTCCCTAGGCGGCCGCTCAAGCCTAAGCACTACTCAGGTCGCCTGCGCGAGTCTTGGAAGCATCCAATTGACCATAGGCCGCTTAAGTGGGAACCACTGGGCCAAAAAGTGTTATGTTGTCCGCTTAAGCATAGTAATGGGTGAAAAGAACAGGTTGGGTCAAAATGGATCAGATTATAGCTCAATAGAAAGTCCTCTCAGATAAAACAGTGAGGATCAGATTTGAATCTTCAAAAAGATCCTTCTCCTATAGGTGCCTCCCCTCAACCTTTCTCTTTGCCACTAGAGAAATTTTTGTTTCATTGAATGGCAAAATAAAATAAAATTGATATGTGATTAAATGACTAATATGACAAATCACTATTCAAAAAAAATCAATAATCAACCCTCTTCCATTCAATTTTAACAACATAAGTGCATATGTAAACCCCAGACCAGAAATTCTTATTCAGATGCCCAACTGAATCTGTCTCATGTGCATATCCGTATAGAGAATCCTCCTACTTCAATATTTCATTGAATATACTGAATAGAAAATACAAATTTGGATGGAGTGTGTGTGACCCATGTTGCCCCAAGTAAAATTACAATAAAAGACATAATATATGGATAACCTCCATTTATGGCAGAAACAATTGCCTTAAAGAATAAAGAGACTATTACGTGCTGCTCAAGCGTGCAACCAAGCACCTGGGCACTAGCTCTAGTTCCCAAAAGTGCACAATGCTTTCCCAAACACTGGACATGTCAAGGTCATTGGTTCACAATGGAGTTCCAATTCCTTCTGATGTGTCGCCAACAAGAACTGACCTTTCTTTTTATTTAGACTTGTTGACCTGTTTTCTTCAGGAGTAGAAATGACTTCTGTAGTTTGTATGACGGTGGAGGGTTAGGAGATAAGTTACATTCAATTTTCAGAGTAAGCACATTCATACAGACACAAAAGAAGGGTTTTATAGCTGCAATTGGAGTCTCAAACAGGGTCCAATTTTCAGTTTTGGTTTGCTAATATTTTCCCTTAAAAAGGAAAATGGAAGAGAAGAAAGATAGGAAAGATTATAGTTAATGAGTGCATTCGTAGGAGACCAGAGGTTGCTCTTCTGGAGGATAAAATGAGAGAGAATTTGTTGAGATGGTTTGGCCATGTACAAGGGAGGCCAATAAATGCAACGATTAGAAGAATTGATAAGATTATAGTTAATGAGCAAAGGGAACTACAGGTAGCTAAAAGAACTTGGTTAAAAACAATTAAGGACATGATTATAGTTAATTTAACAGAGGAGCTGACCATAATAGAAATGAATGGAAGCTTAGGATTCATGTAGACGACCCAAAAAATGTGGGATAAATGATATGTTGTTGACAGGACCTTTTCTCTATAGGTTTCACACTTCAGATCCAGCTACACATTAGAGAGATTTCAAACCAAACCACAAGCTCATCACAAGCAAACTGGAAGAGAAATATACTCCATAATATGCAATCAAAAAATACTTACTGCTCGTTTGCTAATATATGGTTGTGCTTTGAATGGTAACTCAGGTTGATTATCATCCACAATGGATTTTCGCTTCTCCGTCTCAAATTCTCTTTTAGATTCCTTTCGAGTGCCAGCTTGCCAAACTCTACCAAAATTTGGCAGCCAATTAGCATCAAAAGTGTTTAAAAGTCTCTCTCCTCTCTTCTCCATCTCAAGCTCAATTCTTCTCCTCTCTGCCCATGCTGCTCCAACACGTTTAGGGTTCAACTTCTTTAACTTCCCTGTCTGAGTTAGATTATTCAGGTATTGACCTGTATTTAGTTGACCAATGTCCTTTTCTTCATTTGCATCCAACCAGGGAGGCAGCGCCCCTGAATGAACATTTTGTTGAGAGCCTTTAGCAGCACAAGAAATTTGAGTTACTTTCTGCAAGGCTGAGATGAGGAAATGATACAGTTATATGTCAGAACAATGTTAATAAAAAATAATCTCAATCTTTTTCTCACAGGAATATTTAACAATATTGGAAGTTATATTGAGAATCTAAGATTTTGGATACCCCCATTGCAGCTTCCTCCTGGAGCAGTTTGATCCTCCTGGAAAAGATAACAATATTAGAATACATACATGAAAATTAACAAATATACAATACATATATGAAAGAAAATTGGTTATATCATCAATAAAGTAGTGGCTGAATATTCATGAAAAAGTTATCACTTCAATAATAGGAAAAATTCATGAGTTGACACATACTAACATAGTACAGTGCTAGAGCCAGACTACACCATGATAGATGCAGGTAGCATTAAACAATTCTAACAGCCTGTCTTTGAGGATACATTGACAGCAACTTTTATACTTCAAAAGCATAATAGTTGAAAAAGTTCACACTAACTGGCTGCATTTAGCTTTCAGAACAAAAATTAGATATGAAAATATAAGAACATTATAAACTATTAAACCATGCCACAAAACACTGGATTATGTTGTGATCGTGCTCAGCTGACTAGGGCCACAAACTTTTTAAGTAAAACCATATTGTTTCAAAGGTGTACCTTATGATATACCTGTATTAGTGACTCGACATTTTATGTACATAGGGAGAGCACAGGCTCATGTGTCAAGTAATATGCCCCGACTGACATGGCCTGTCAGAGATGTGACATGTCACCAAGTAGATGGTTTTGTTTATTCAAGTAAAAGTAAATAAGCACAATTATTAGAATGTATCATGTTTATTGACACCAAAATGGATGAGTCAACAAGTTGGAATAAACATCTGTTAGGGTGTGTTTGGATTTCAATGGGGTTAAGGGAAGTTAAGGGAAACTAGGTGAGAGAATGGAAGGGAAGGGAAGGGAGTTCCCTTCCCCTTGGTTACACCCCAATTTGGGGGGTAACAAATTTTATACTATTAGGGGGTGAACCAAGGGGAACTAGGGTGAATAACTTCACCTCCTAAATGTTCCCAAACAAGGTGAATGGTTCCCCTAACTTCCCTTCACCCTTATTCCCCTCAATCCAAACAAGCCCTTAGTGCTAACTATAATCTAGTTAGTGTGCATGATCTTTTCCTAAGAACTTCAGGGGCAATAACTTAAAAACAGCACCCAAAAAAAAACTAAAAACTGATTTTGTACATTAACTTGGACATGGAGGAGTGTGCATCCTAAAGCAAAGTACTGGCTCCTAAAATGCAATCAATTCAGCCATCTCCCCTCCACCCACCAACCAACCCAAATTAATTAAAAAAAAGAAAGCTTACTGTTCCATTAGTCTGACAATCAGAAGCATGGAGGAAGAGCATTTAGTACAACAGTAAATTTTATGAGAACTTACAGAGTCCAACAACATTCAAGTATAGATTCCAAAATCTAGTAATGCAGTAAATGTTACGTGCGGAAATAATTGTTACTAAACGTTAAAAAGCTTACCGTTCTATTAATTAGAGAGTATCCACCTAAGATTTTGACATTGTTGACAAGCTGCATAGGTTGTTTACCTAATATTTTCAATTGTATATGTGAAATGTTAGGCGTGAATATGCGAACATATGACCATATAAATCACATCAGTGAAAATTAAGTAACACTTGACACCTGTTAAACTGCGTGGTATTCGGCATTCCATGCACATCTTGCAGACCCAGTATTTCCCTGCAAGTCCACTGAAAAAGCAGCTGTCTCGTAGGGAACTGAGCCAGCTCCCGTGGCTCCACTAAGATCTTGAGGATACAGTCTATGACTCTCATTAGTAAGAGTTTGTAAAGGCATAACAGGATGATAAGCATTTGAATTGGAAGATGTGATAGAATGTTTATCAAAACTATTCATATTGTTAGAGGTATGTTCATGTTGGATATCTTTTAACGGCACAGAGAAGGGTCCAATAGTTCCTTGGCCCGAGGTAGATGCCGCACTCTTCAGTGACTTACAAGCCTTCTCCCACTGCAACCATCATACTTATAATTAATCACCAATTTCAAACTGCAAATTGTTTTGCATATTTAAATTGTTTCCAATAATTATGGTAAGCTACATTAATTAAAAAAATATGTATAATATCATATACTGCTCCAGATCTATTATAATTAACTACTAAGAGCAATCCACTTCATTATTACCAGGATTTAGGGCGTATTACTAAATTAGTGAAATTGATTATAGCAGTTATCTTCTGTTCCTGACATGATCATACTTAAAATAAATAAATAAATAAATAAATAAATAGTTAAGAAAACACTGCTTAGTCAAAAAAAAAAAAAAAACACCTATAAATAAATAAATAGTTAAGAAAACACTGCTTAGTCAAAAAAAAAAAAAAAACACCTCGGCGAGCTCTTCATCAGAAACCCTAAACGAATCGATTCGATCCACGCCACCCCCATGCTTCCTCAAGAAACCTTTTAAATTCCTCAGATGCTCCGAGCTCGCGAGATGATTGATCGCATTACAACTACAAACGCAAAAACGAACCAATAGAAACCCTAGACTACTCAAAATCCCAAATTAAACCCTAGAAACCTCAAATCCGTACCAGGGGACGGAGTCGCCGGGCTCCCGTACGTCTACGGAGCAGAAAACGCACCAGAACCGGTCCCTAGGGCTCGGGGCGCTAGGGTTTCGGAGGGAGGATCTAAGGTCGGCGATCTTTTGCTGGGAGCGGGAGAGGAGAGAGGAGAGGGAGCGCACGTGAGAGGGGAAGTAGCGGTGGCGGCGGCCTTGGTCGTTGGTCGTGGTTGAGCCTGCAGACGTCGCAGAATTCGAAGGGGTCTCCTCCGTCTCGTTTCGGCGTCTCCTCCTCCTCCTCCTCCTCCTTCTTCTTCTTTCCTCGGTCCATGATTGCGATCTTGGTTGCGGGGTTTTTCTCCCCCAAAGAAAACTTCGCTTCCCTCGATGCAAGGTTTATATGGAGGGTGTTGCTATGTCAGTGTACGGTTGCATGATACACTGTGTATCATGTAACCGGGTGACATCTCACATGTCTCATGTCTTATATCTTCTATTTGATCCCTAAGATATGATACACTGTTTTATAAACAGTATATCATGCAACCGGATGATAACATCTTATATGTCTCATGCCTTAGGTCCCTTATTTGGGTCCCTGACGCATTAATATTATATGGACGTCTCGAAACAACCCGAAAGTATATTTGAAGGATTAAGTAGCAGTTAAGTACGTTATAGTTTCAATCAATCTGCACTTTTATACCCCCAGTGGTAAATTCAAGATGTCTGAAGATAGGTGTCATTAGATGATTAATGACAATTTTATACGTTACGTTGAAAGAAGCACATAATCAAAGCATCATTAATAACGCTAGCAAGTTTTACCTTCTTCTACGTGCGTTACTCACCGCCTGTGCTCTCTGTTATAAAAACGTGAAAATTTTCACATGAATATTTCAATACGACACTCACATGCTAATTGATACGAGAATAACCGGACGAAAAGTTCACGTTTGCATGATAAAATATACGAATGCGTCAATTTTAAACAAATTATGGCATATAAATGCCGCAAAAGACAAGGGCATATAAAATGCAAAATGAGTATAACTATAAAGTATTTAGGTGCTATTTAGCCATATTTGAAACCGGGAAGTGTTTCTAACTAGTATTTTCTTTTTCTTTTTTTCCCTTCAGCATATATACCCTTCCAATCTCTCCCATTTGCAAATGTTCATCCAAATTTGCATATTATTTACTACCCCTGAATTCTCCCACCGAAATAGATTGCAGGATTACTGTTTTAAGAAAAGTATTTTCACAATGAAACTTTTACCCAACTTCTTCGACCTTCCGCATTTTACCCAAAAGAACATGATGCAAGCGAGCAGCTCAAAGCGATCAGCTCTCAAAGCAACCAAAGGGATTTCTAAAGCTAAGTACGTTACTCGTTAAAAAAAATGACGACAGCATTTGTCTAGAAAAGAAAACATTGTAAGCGTAACGGCTATCATGGAAAATAACAGTGATCACCAAATATGGAATAGAAAAACTAATTCAGCAAAGGGAATAATACACACATGAACTCGGAATGGAGAGATACCGACACAGAGCAAAGAAACTAGACTGATTATGAACATGCGTATCCGTAGAATTTATTGTGTCAACTTCCTTACATACCAAAATGGAGTAAAACCGACACCAAAATGTAGTAATCCTGACAGGGGGGATTAGATTGATATAACTAGGAAATGATGTCATGGAGTAGGTCACGATGAATTGAGTGTGTCAAGTTGGTGCTGGAGTTCTTCAAGATCGTCAGCGATGGTGCTGGTCCCTTCCACCAGCGATGGATCTTGAAGCTTGTCTGCATTAGGGAGCTCGTGGATAAGACCTTCTGGAAGGGCATCTGTGAGCGAGAGATAGATGAGCAAGTGACGAAAAGTCTAGGTGCCAGCGTGTGAGTTTCATGAGAACAAGAGAACCACATGAACGTTTACTTGCAGACGTCTTTGTATTATCTTCATCATCTACAACACTGCAAAAAAATTGAAAAAAATATAACAAAAGTTAAGATAGATTTGAACATTGTAATAGCTTTAATCATAAGTCTGAGCAAATATTTCCATCCCTTCTTAAGTAAAAGACATGAAAAGGTAAGGATTATAATGTGCTTGACGCTATGGACACGAAAATGCTATCTTCCTATAATCATGATGATTTCCCAGGATAATGTTAGCTTCTAAAGAACATTTCCCTACGTCGACAATGATTCATTCCCAGATTAATCTTAAGGTGTCAGTCAGAATGCGAGAAAATCCCAGAGAAATGGACTCCAAACTAAGAGACGATGCATTATACATCATAATAGGAGGAAGGGGGCTCTCAATTTAGGAATAAATTGTGCCATTGCACATTCTCTCCAGTATCTTGTTTTATGTTGTTTATTTAAAAAAGCAATGTTTTAGAAAAGTCCGAAAAATATAGGAATAGGATGTAGATTGACATAATTAGAACGCAGGTCTATGGAAAGGTGAATATCGAAATTCAAATTTTTAAAAGGATATCTAAATAACTTTTTAAGGCAGTAAGACATTTTTCTACAGTTTCCCATATTTAATGCATTACTACTTTATGTCCCTCCATATGCATTTAACAAAAGATCCTTTTAGGCATTTAAAAAGACTAAACTTCAAGATAGAGAGATAGGTAAAACAGAACAA